TAAATGCTTGTAGATGTTTTGGTTTTCAAAGATTTTTTTAGTTTTAGTTGCCCTTTATAACCCCTCTGTAGCCATACACCTACAACTATAGGTAATTTCCTTATTTTTGATAGGTATATTTATTTTTCTCAAACATCTGTAAGATCACCCTTGAAATTTAAGAAAATTTACTATAATGTTAGAACACTATCGCTAGTAGCTACTAAATTATCATTGAATTTGACGTCGTTGATTAATACTGTTGTGTGGTAATGTATTTATGCCTTTCACAGACAAGTATTTCACACACTTGACTACAAACTATAATTGAAATTGTTCTGTAAAGATCCCTCTTCTATGCAGCTTTCACACTGTGTTTTCATACTGTATTTACTGATACATACTGTTTTTTTTGTTCATCTTTGCCTTGCTTGCGTCATCAGCTCTCAAACAACATTGGAAGCTTGTTATTAAAAGCATAACAATTGTCGAGACTTCATGAGCGGTTGTCTTAGGTTTCATAGACTTCATGGCCACCCACATAATGCTCCGTATATCATCCCAGACTTAACGAAAAATCGGCTTGAGGAATTTCAGAAATCGCAGGACTTTTTCCTAAATCTTATTTAATTGAACATGAATCGAAAATTTTGCATCTATTAAATATTTTATATAAGCCAGAGTTTTGTATAATGTTATAATAAGTGACCAAATGGTTGAAAATTATGGCAAAAATATTTAAAGAAAGTCTATTGCATTGTCTTATTTTAAAAATGGCTCAAAAAGCAATATTCTTATACAAACTTCATGAAAGTTATTTTTTTTCGCAAAAGTTGGAACATTTTGTACCTAAGTGAAATTATTATGTCTTCAAATTTGTGTTCAAGAATATAGCATGCATTCAAAAATTTACGTAGAGCGCCTGAGAAGGGACCACCCCATATTTTCGCGTGATGCGTTTTTGGCTATAATTTTGTGCGTGAAATCGTGAAAACTCTCGTTTCTTTATGCGTGATGTCGTGAATTAAGATTCCTACGTGAAGCGTGAAACATGGGTTTTCCTTGCGTTATGTCCTGATAAAGCTTTAACTGTCCGGCTGAGAGTTTAACTTTTTTGGAGATGGTGGCCAGCGAGTGATTGCTATTTTCCTAAAAAAGTGCAGCAAAATCCTCGTGGTGCATAAATTTCTTACAGATGGATTTATCACACGTGCTTGAATCTGTTAGTGTTCTTACACGACTTCTCTTTCAGTGTTTCAGTGAGACTGTTTCGAACAATTTTCATTTTCGTAAGCAGCGAAATCTATGTAGAGAGTGGAGTTTTCGGCTATTGCAGGCCGGTAGACAGCCAAACTGGAGTTGGGGAGGGGGATGGGTAGAAATATAGCTTTTTCTATACCTGCTCTACGAAATACTGTCAGATCAAGCAGCAAATAAAATTCTCTAAAATTTGTGTTGGTCATATTTTGAATATGCTTACATTATAACTTCCACGAAAATTGCAAGAGGGGGTCTGCTTGAACAAATGGCTTTGCAAAACTTTAAAAGCTGCCTTAAGGCTCCTGCATATTGGAATGACCGAAATAAAAGCCCTCTTTGTCGAGGCAAAATAACAGTTCGTATTTTTATAAGTACCTAAATCTTTTAGTTTAAAAAAACCATTCCACTTTTACGACGCGCGAATCAACCCGTGATATTTTACGTCCCGCGTGTGAGTTGCACAACTCTCGCGACTTTGACTTTCAAGGCCATATCTCAAAAGAATATGGCGACCGAAAACGATCTAATGAGAGTGTGTTATTTTCTTTGTGTGCAAGTGAATTGCCACTTTAATAAATAACATTTCTTTGAAGCAAGTGAAAAAGAATACCATTTATAACACACAGTGTCAAGCATTTGTGAAGGAAAGAAATATTATATTCATCTTGTAGCTAAATTTAACTAGCAACCGTAATCTACGATAAGAATATCGATTTTCCTGACTGACAGGTCAGTTTGGTGTCGCCCATTGAAGACCTTCTTGGCGCAAATCACAATTAAAGGACACATTTATTCAAGCAGGCTTTTCAAACAAAGCTGGTATGTATATGATACTCTGGATAAACCAATTCTCAGAGCAGGCTGATACCCCTCCTCCCAGTCCTAGGTGATATCTCAACCACCTCATCGTCGGATGTTATCAGTTAGGCCTTAGAACCTCTTGATTTCCCAAATTGCAAAAATTTGTGCCTTAGCGAAACAATTTTACGTTTTTGTTTTTGATACAGTAGAACCTGAAGGCTGAATCTGTGGAAAGCTTTTAAGTGCCTTTCCCGTGAAAAAGCGAGGGCCTAACCATGGCTTGTCATAATTGAAAGAGAGATGACTGCGGATATTTATATCGCATTTCAAAACAGAGGTTGAATAGCCAGAAAACCTTAAAACCACGACAAATGGTTAAATTCTACAAATACTGTTTTTCTATGCTAATTTGAAATAAAATAATAGCCAAAAAGTGATAATTGAAAGTATCAACATTTACAGCTGGACAGCTTTAGTTCAAACATGGAACATTGTAGTTTTATTGATAAATTTACTTTTCTGTCATTATGTCCTTGTTACATTTAAAACTGTGAAAATTTATATTCCAGATATATTCACAATGAGTCACAAACCAGGAAAGAAAGATAATAAAATGAGGATTAGGGCATTCCCTGTAAGTGAAAACTTTGTTACAATTTTATTGTCAAAACTACAATGCCTGCCAAAAGTCTTGGAACACTGACATCAATTTCCAAGGTCAAAACCAATCATCCCCCTCTCCCCCACGGAACAATGTTGGTTTACTATCAAACGGATTAGGATTTTAGGAAGCACTTTCTTTTGCGCTTCTTTTATGATATTTCTCTAAATCATCAACATTGTTTGAGGGGGAAGGGGCGGAAGTAGCAAATTTTTTTCATGAAAGGAATGAAAGATATCAAATGCAGCGTAAATTGGTGGGTGTTCCAAGTACTTTTGGCAGGCATTGTCTGAATTTCATTTTGAAGCTTATTAGATATACCACCAAAACCAATATCCTTCTATAGGTTTTTGATGGTGCTGATTCCATTTCTGCCATTTTCAACATCGTACGTGTTACCGATAAGGAGATATGGGGGTATTGTCTTTTTTCGGGGGTGGGGGTAAGCTACCCCCATAAAACTAAATGCCATATTTCAATTAAGGTTAAAATTGCTAAAATCAAAATCGATTTCCAATAAATAGGATCAAGATTGTATTTTGAATCTTTTCAAAGGCTCGTAGCCAGATGGCTGTCTAAGAAATAATGGGATAGATGAAGGAGACAAATATGAGTGGCAGCTAGAAAATAATCTAAAATGGAAAGGATGCAATTTTATAAAAGTGACATCGATTCCTCTGTTTCATGTTTCTAATT